GATAGATAGATAGATAGATAGATAGATAGATAGATAGATTTGGAACCTGGAACTTGAGACTACTTGTTATGAAACTAGAGAAAAATGATTGCAGATAGAAAGCCTAGGACACTCTAGTACCTGAGTACGGGAAAATAAGCATAGCGTACTGATACAGAATGGTCCATATAGTAAGCTAAAGAAAAAACATGATAAAATTGTATTATGTAAGCAAAGAAAAAATATATTTCAAGTAAAGAAAATTGCATCAAGTGTTGTCAAGATATTAACAAGTCAAATTAAAACAAAGGAAAGCCCACTAACAACACAAAGTTCAATGAAGACTTGAAAAGGAAGTTTTAATGAAGTGTACCAACAACTTGAGTCTCAAAATGTGAGCAGTCTTACTAAGCCAATTAAGAAAGACCAGATTACTTTTCTAAAGCACCTACAAGGGCGTGAGAGAAGCAGTGTGGAGTGGTGAGATTATTCTTACTTTCTACTCAGGTATATTTTGCAAAAAGCTCATGGAGTTAAGTTAGTTTTTGCTACAATTCTCAGACAAGTGGAAGATTTTTTTTTTTTTTTTCATTTTTATCAGTACCGGGGATTGAACTCACGACTGCCTGCTTGCAAGGCAGGCGCTTATGCCGCTGAGCTAAATCCTCAGCCCCTAAGTGGAAGATTTTAAAGTCTGTAAGAGAGGAGTCAAATTAAAAGGGTACTGAGTTCTTCAGAATGAAAAGAAATCATAGATCCCACTAAAAAGGCACAGAAACAAAACTTAGTTCACATCAGAGACCCTGCTTCTCCAGGAGGCCCAGAGCCAGTCGGTGGTCATTCCAAAGTTCCCAGTCTTCTGCGGTGGAAAAGGCCATGAGGCCGAGTACAGAAGAAATTGTTATTCGTCTCCCAGATTACTTTATAATCAGAAAACTCTCCAAAACAACATATTTGGGAACTAATACACTTGAAAAACTAGGGGAATACACTTCCAAAACAGTTTCATTAACTTTTCCCAATTACGCTATGACACAGGGACAAGGGAAAAAAATACAAAGCAATTATTTTTACTGTACATGAGAGCCTCCTTGTCATTCACACTAAAGTGGGGAAGGCCTAGTGGCCACAAAGACCAGTGACCCAAGAGACAATACATATAAAATAATGGGTTGGGAGATTTCTCATGAAAAATGCTATCAAAGTACAATTTATAATTCCTCCCAAGAAACTGAGGCAGAAATTCTACTTCTGGGTATATAACAAAGGAATTGAAATTACTCACATGGTTATATCAGCATTATTTGTAATAGTCAGTACATGGAAACAACCTGAATTTCCATAGGTGGATGAATAAGCATGAGGAACATACACGTAGTCATTCACTTGGTGCTCAAGGGAACTTTTCCAGGATCCATTCCCCACAGATATGACATCATAGATGCCCAAGTCATTTACATAAAACAGTATAGTGTTTGCATATAATTTAGATTCATCCTGCCATATATTTAAATTATCTGTAGATAACATATAGACTAGTATGCTTAAAGTTACATGAAATGGTGAAATAAATCAAGGAAGATCTAAATATACTGAGACACAAACATTGCTCATGTATTGGAAAACTCAATGTAGCAAGGCTAAAAATGAATACACAGACAATATAATGAAAGTTTTGAGGGATAAAGGGTGCTAAAAATGCTGGAGATGTTACAGGAATACCACAGAGCAGGGGACATGGGATGACTCAATCTGGAAGCAGTTTCCAAGAGGCTGGGGACCACACCCATGCCAAAGGATGGTACATGGACTTCCTAGGATCATCAGTTTAAGATCACCTAAGTCTTTTCCAGGGGAAAATGAATAGGCTGAAACCACAGACAGATCCAGGAGAACACACCCTCCAATGTCTCATTTAGTTTTCCACATCTGAAACAAAGAATATGCCAGGCCTCAGGAATGAAAAGGCAGCTGTCCTGGTCCACATGAAAGTGACCCCTTCCTAAGAAAGGCTTCCCAAATGCTAGATTTGTCCCTGGAATGGTGGGAGACTGAGATCCTGGAGATTCTGAACCTGCCAGCCTGTGACTTTGAGAGTGGGATCATCCCCAGATAAAAAGGAGACTAAATGCACCAGAGCAAGACCCCAGGTGTTGTAATTCCAAATATTGAGTACAGTCATCCAAGTATCATAATCCCTTTTCTAGTCTTCCTCACAATCCAAAAAGTTATGTTTATAAACCCACTGAGATGTTATTGGAATCCCAACAAGTTAATTCCAATCTACCACCTCCAATGCAACTTGCAACCCCAAGTTAAGGGCAGCCAAGGAGTCCTAAATCCAATTCCCTTGAGGATGTGCAGACAAAGGCCCTGATCCTAGACCTCTCCCAGAAAGTATCTTGTGAAGAAGGGAGTGGTTCCAGGATGAGTGACAGTGAGGGTGGCAGGAATTACCTGAATAACTTGAGCTGACTAGTCAGGTAGTGAGAAAGGCATGTCTGCAAAATGCAGAGATAAAGATATGCAGAAGGATCAATTTGCATAATTCAACTAAGGTAGTTTTTTGTTTTTGGTTTTTTTTTTTTCAGGCTGTTGCTTCAGTTTCTGCTTTGTAAACTTTTATGCACGAGGGAGTCATAGCCTCTTGTCCTTGAGGCTCATATCCAGCTGACATGCCTGGAGCTGACTGGCTCTACCATCCTAGTGCTGTGCCCATATCATCTATAGAAAACACTATTTGAGGAAACAGGAGATGGTTTTAGAGATCACATATCAGTACCTCACTGGTCTTATTTACAAATGCTTAGAGCCAATTGAAGTGACAAGAAAATACCATAGTTAGCTCTGTACATATCAGTATAAGAAAATAAGTCTAGATGTAATCAAAGTTGCAGCAGTTCTGCATTCAAGAGGAATCACTCAAATTGTCTCCCACACTCAGGCATGTGATCAAGAAGTCACACACAAGTCCTTTCACTATCATTTTTACTAGAACCACTCAAGGTGGATATTGATATATTTTGCCATATTAACAACAGAATTAAAGCCAGCTAAAAGGTATACTAACAGAAAGAAAAGAAATTCACTTAGCTTTTAGAGCCTTATTACCATACATGAATTGTCAAGTTATACATGAAAAGCTCCAAAATAATCCCAGTAGTGTTTTTCACAAAATCATTCAATAATTTGGCTATACAAGTTTTCTGTCACATTGGCTAACATTGTGTCCTGCTGGCCACAGAGAATCAGATGGCAATGATGTTTCCAGGATTATCTTATAGAAGCAAGAGAACTGAGATGGAAAAGAGACATGATGTGAAGCCTGAGAGAGCTCAGAAGTTGAAGACTGGAGCTGGCAGAGTGGTCCCCGTGCAACCAAGCAGTGCATAAATCCTGGGGGAAAAAGGCTCCATTCTGGTTTTGCAGTGTTTACATTCTAATTAGAATAAATGGTAAATACCTATATTTGAAAATCTATATTTACAGAGAAAGGTAAAATAAGATTGTCCATTTATTGTATAAAGCAATTCATAATTATTGTATAATGTATTGTATGACTTTTCCCATAATATGCCATCAAAGCCAAATTATTCAGATAAACAGAATAGTAAATTATGAAGGATGGAAAATGGCAGTCATGATGGGAGGAATGTGCCTTCTGTGTGAATGCCAATGTCACCAGTGGTTTTCCTTGGCAAACCTCAGACTTCACCATGGCCATGTTCAGGACTCTGGAGTCTCGTCAGCCACCGGCCCCAGGCACACCCGTGAGTGTAGTGCCTGCCTCTTGTTCAAGCCTGAGGCAAACCTCAAAAACTGAACCCTTTTCCCAAGCACTGCTTGTCTTAAGTTACTGATGGGGCTGTCACTGCAGCTGCTGCAGGAAGGCAGTGGAGATCAAATTTCTTTCAAACACAAAAGCTGAACCCAGAAACGCCCACACAGTGGTACTCAGTGCTCCTTGGGCCCTTTAAAATTGAAAAGGTCCTGATAGTCTATTTATTCTGAAGTCTAAAATAATGTTACACAGCATGGAACTTCCCTTAGAAAGCAAAAGATCAAAGTAGAGAGCAATTTAAGTTATGAAAAATAAGCTTGGTCACACTTTGAGATGCAGTCCACAGCAGAAAGATGCAGACTCTAATTTGCCCAGTTAAGTTATTCAAGTCCTCCAGGCTTTTTTGATTGCTAAGGGAAGAAGGATGGGGTCAGCATACACAAATTACATAAACTATATATTCCAAGGTCTGGTGTACTAGAAACACAGTAAGAAAAATAAAAACAGCTAGCATTACTAAATATTCTTCTAACATGCATACACATGTATGCATCTTCACAATGCTCTATTACAGGTGTTAGCAAACCTGTCTGACAAATGTTTTCAGGGCTTCGTGGTTTCTATGCCAACTACTTAGTTCTACTGATGTGATTTGGAAACAGCTACAGATGGTTTATAAATGCATGAGTGTACCCATGTTCCCAGAAAAAATCAGTTACAAAATCCGTAGGTGGACTATTGTTCGCTGACCACGGCTCTGAGACCAGTTCTATCACTGGCCCCATTTACAAATGAAAAAATAGAAGCACTAAGGAGTGACCAAAGTCCCACATGAAATCTGATTACCAAGTTCATAACCCTTCATCCAATCATATTGGCCACTGTTATCACCATCACTCTCAGGAAAACTCTCACTCACTACAAATGTGGGTTTTTCTAATTCAAAACTTGCCAACCAGCAGTCAGTGAACAATGGCCTCAGGCCTGCCCCAAAGACCCAACACAAATCCTCCCTCTTCTCCTCGCCATCACCCTATGTTCCTGGTTTGAGTTCTCTCTCCTCTGAACCCCAGCACCTTATTCTACATACCTCAAAAATCAATCACCTTCTACTAATTATACATTTTTCCCCAAGATCTTCTGGGGCACAATTTGCAAGTTTTGATGGGGCATTGAACCTATGGGAGAAGTTCCAGGCTGAGATTCAAAAAGCCTGGGGCAGGGAAGAGAGGTGACTCACCAGTCCATGGCAGGCACTGAGCACTGCAGTCCCAACTGCAATGCTCTGCTGCTGAACTATGCCCTTGAGATGACAAGGGGGGCTTGAGGGAGCCACAATCTTAACATTGGAAAGGTTCCCGTATCTCTTCTCCACAATGTAGCTACTGGAAAGAAATCCTCGGTTGACTGTCAGGTTAAAAAACAGGTCCTTATCTTCATGTGAAATTCTATAGTACACTCGGTCCTCTGGGCCATCCAAACCTCTTTTCCTCCTGCTGCTGGTGACAGGATGGTTCAAGCCATAGGACAGGAAGTGCCCACTAGAATCTACTCGGACAGGAGCCACTACGTGATATTCCGGAAGGGCCTGCATAAAATGCTCTGAAAGAAAAGAAGACACAAAATAAGAGTGAGAAACTTGGGCTGAGACTGCAGAGAAGCAAACTCACTTTCACTTGGAACCTAGATTCTAGACTGAGATTCCAGAACCCACTGTTGACTTGAAGCTCAGAGATCCTTTCCACTATAGCTCAGAGATCCTTTCCACTATAGAAGTCCTGTCAACATTAAAGCCCCTGAGTAACTCAAAGTCATATAGCACTTCCTCTTCAGTAACACATACTATTCTCAGATGATGCTAAAATAGAACTCTAGGTGTCAGGTATTTTATCTGAGGGAACTTAAAATGAGCATTAATTCATGAGGAGTACTGTTAGAAAAGTGGCGAGACCAGCATCAGAATCAGGGACAGTGCAGATCTAGAGTTCACTGACACAAGTCACAGAGGTTTCTGAAGAGGCACATAAACTCTTCGGGAAACTTCTTGCTAAGGCCACTTAAAGGATAAAGCCAAAAACTCAATCACAGAGAACTAAGTGCACATACTTGGACAAACCTCACACCGACGAAAGCATAAAAAAAAATCCCATGATATAGCAAGGTGCTTAAAAGAACTTGGAGATATTTTCGATGTTTACAAGTACAAAGTGCACAAAGTAAAATGGTATGAGAACATATTAGAATCTGACATATTTTTTCAAAACACAAAAATTGCCACTTTAAAAACATGAGACAGGAACCCTCGTTTCTTACACACACACACACACACACACACACACACACACACACACAACATGCTTTTTGATTTACCTGAATTTTAAGCTCCATCACCACCTGTTTTTGATGTTTGGGAATAACGAAGGATCTCGTAATCATAGAATTAGTCATCACTCAGCATCATCTACCAAGTAACATAAACCACTAACCACTTAGTAAGATGATATTTTGCTTCAGGAAAAGGAAAGGGAAGGGAAGGGATAGACAGGGAGGGAATGACAGACAGAAGGTGGAAGGAAGAAATAGAGAAAGAGAAAAAGACGGAAGAAGAGAAAATAAGGAAGGGAGGGAGGGAGGAAAGGGGGAGGAAGGGAGAGAGGGAGAATGAGGAGGAAGGGACATAGGTGGGAGGCAGAGCTCCACCTCCTTCCAGCCGCACCACTTACATTACTTTATTCATGTGATTTTCCCAAATACAATGATTATGCATTCTATCAAAAATCCTGTGTATTCTTTAAAGATCCAAACCAAATTCTTTCTCTTTGATCTAATTTTTTTTAATTTTTATCGTAATGAGAATAAAACCATGCAAAACAAAACACAACAAAGACAATCAAAACAAACCAGTGTAAGTGACACAGGACTTCAAAGCAATAGGAAATCAATAATAGTTACCATAATGCCTGCTGCTATTTCAAAACAGCTGCCCATATTGTCAGACATAGTAAAAACCAAATAAAACAGAACAAAATAGAGCCAATAAAAACAAAACAATGAATGCAATAAAGGACTTCAAAACAAGATAATAATAAGTCCAAAATGGCTACCATAATATAGCTTGTTATCTTTGAAAAGCTGCCCATGCCATGGGATAAAATAAAATCAAACAGAACAAAGCCCAACCCAACAAGACAATGAAAATGATACAGGACTTCAAAGCAAGACAATATGGAATTAACAATGACCACTACCCTCAGAATGAGATCTCCCCTAGATGCTACACTGCGCATTGCCATTCTCTAAATAGATGAACCAACTACTGGTGCTAGACCTGCAAAGTCAGTGAAACACTAAACACTATAAGCTTAAATTGCATTCCACCTCAGCCTGTGTTTCTCCAGATCAGCCAGTCACTTATGGTGGGAGGTGGGGAGAGGAGGGTTGGCTCTTCTTGTTTCCCAGCTTGCATGCCAGAAAGAGATAGTATCTGGCTCTCCCCACAGCGGCCCACACATGGCACTGATTTGCAAGGAGGGCTTGCTTCTTGGTGATCCAAAGTTCTCCTTTGCCTGAACCCTCATGTCCCCACGCTCAGTATTTCCCACATTGGTTATATTGCCATTGGCATAGTGTACTATTTGTCCCTAAACCTTCTGGAGGACACAGTCATACACCACAGGTGCTTAGTTACTGCATTGATGTATCAATGGACATGTCAGTAGCTATTTAATTAAAATAAATGCACTTTGATGGGATACATTTTGTTCTAGGCAAGTGCTCTCAAAAATGATTTGTAGATCCTTTCTTCTCTATCTTGGATGAAATATGGTGCAGCACACTTTCCATCCTTAGCTACTAACAGGAAGTCTCAATGTTTAAGTATAGAAAGTATGGACCTGTTTCTCCCAATTGCAACATTTAGGTAGAATTGTCCACATAGCAACAAGGACAAATCTTAAAAACAATACTCAATGAAAAATAAGAAACAAGGCAAGTTAATGCAGAACTCTTCACATTGATGGAACACACACACTCCAGAAAGCTTTTTCAGAACACCCACAAACAAAATATACATGTGGAGCCCATTAACATGGATTACCACAGGGAGAAATGGGAATAGGAAATGAGAACAAATATGTAAAATATATAAAACAAAACACAGTTTTTGTACAAAAACACTAGCGTTCCAAGGGCTGAGAATATCACTAAGTCATTTCCCCTTCTGCCTCTCATTCACTTCTTCAGAAATGCCTGGTCTGATTCAATACTGGCACTTCTCTGACCTCTCATGTTCAGATTTCAATGAAGAGAGAAATGTCCAGGCTGAGTGCGTGGACATAGCCTGCTTCTGTAATCCTCCCTTCATATTTCTCTCCTCTTCCATTGCTCACAATGATACGTTTGAATGAGCCAGGGTTGGAGCAAGGGAGGGAAATCAGAGACAGGAAAGGTTAGACTTGGCCAGGTGCACGTGTCACTTGGCAGTATACCTGTGTGTGGTCAGTGTCTAGACGCTGACTCTTTCTCCCATTAAATACTCTAGGTTTGGGGAAATCTCTGTCACTAGGGGTTGCCCAAGCCCCCAAGTGGGGGCAGTCTCTGCTCCAATAGCCACTTTCCCATCTCCCTATACTGAGGCCACTGTACCACTGTAGAGGGTCCTTTCCACCATCATTTCAGCAAGACCCAAGATCCTTTTCAGGAGTCCAAATTTGACACACATGGAACAATATGTGATCCTTACACTTCCCCCAAAATTATGGCAATCACCATTCCTGGATGGCAAGGTTATACTCTTCGTTGGCTCTGTCACCAAATGCCATTTCAGCCAATTTTTTCTTTTTGGAATGTCTTAGTTATTTCTCTCATTGCTGAGACAAAATTTCAGACATTTTATAAGTTAAAGAAGGAAAAAGTTTCCAGTGTGGTAGCTCACGCCTGTCATCCCAGCACTCGAGAGGCTGAGGCAGGAAGATCATTGTGAGTTTGAGACCAGCCTGGGCTACAAAGTGAGCTCAAGGCCTGCCCGAATTGCATAGAGAGACCCTATCTCAAAAAGACAAAAAAAAAAAAAAAAAAAAAAGAATAAAAGGTTTACTTCATGCCAGTTAATAGTTGGCTGGTTCCAGGGCCGGGTGGCATGGCAGTATCACAGAGGAGAAAACTTCATGTCAAAGCAACCAAGAGACCATGAAGCAGCAGCAGCTGTAAAAGCTAGTCTGCCTCTCTTCTTTTTTCTCCCTTTAATCTTTTTGAGACAGGGTCTCACAATGCAGTTCAGTCTGGCCTTGAGCTCACTTTGTACCCCAGGCTGGTCTCAAATTTGCAAGGATCCTCCTGCTTCAGACTACTTACTGACTGCTGGGATTACAGGCATGTACCACCATGAGTGGCTCTGCCTCTCCCTTGTATCCCATCCAGGTTACCAGCCTTTTATGTGGTGCCAACCACAACCAGTCTGAGCCTTCCCTTATCCACCTCCTTAATCCCAGCATCACACCCTAATCTAGCCACTTCAGAAACTCCATCTATGACCACATGAGGTTTTGGGGATACATCTAGATATGAGTCAGAACAGCATGATGAGGGTCAAATCTACTCTCCATGCTCCCCAAACCCACAGCAAACCTCTGAGCTCTCTTGTGCTAGAGGGACAGTAGAAGAGAATACTCTTTCATCATGAATCTCTCCTGAACAAAATCTCTCTCCAATATCTTCCCATTGACCTTTCACAACAAAGGTGAAAGGCACAGAATCTCATCGTCTCTTTGCACCCCCTGCACACATAGTCTGGAAATTCTTTTTACAAACGCATGGGAGATTAGTCTCCTTTTCTTCCTCACATTCATCTTCTGAGAATAGGAACTGAGACTAAATGAAAACTCTCATTCCAACACCTTATGCATATGCAAGTCTCTGCACCTCCACCAAGCAAAGAAACAAACATTTTCCCTAACAGATTATTTTGCTAAAAGCCATTATTGACCAATTTAAAACTATAAGCAACTACATACCTTAAAAAATGAATTCCGAACTAAAAATTATACTCTTTTAAGAAGCCTGAAAAGCGTTGAAAATGCTTTACTTGTTATAGCCAAAAGGTAGTTATAATAAATTTTAAGTTGCCATGAGTCAGAGACCAACAGATAAATTTTAAATTAATTTATCTTTTTTTGTTTCTGTTAGTTATGAGTCAGAGTCTCATGTGTAGCCCAGGCTGGTCTTAAACTCGTGATCCTAACTCAGTCGTCTGAGAGCTGAGACAACTTGGTTGGCTTTGGAACCAACCAGGGGATTGGAACAGCACACTTTTGAGTGTGTCTAAGTAGATCTGGAGACACAACCTTGGATACTGTGTCTGGTCTCTTGCTCTTTCCTCTGTTCCCCTGCTCTGCTTCCCAGCTGCTATGAATAAAGCACTTTTGCCCCATCAAGCCCTTTCACCACAATGTTCCTGTCTTGGAGTCAGCTTACCATGGACTGAATCCCCTTAAAACATGAACCAAATTAAATACTTCCTCCTCAAACTGTGAGTGTTGGATACTGTTCCCAGCTATAAAAGAGCTTATTAATACACACGTTCTCTGTCAATACTCAAAACAACCCTGTGGTACAGATTCAATCATTTTCCTCATTTCATAGGAAAAGAAACTGAGTCTAAGAAGTCAATATACAACTTACTTAGGTTGAAACCCTGTGCTTTCTGTTTCAAAATCATATTCTCATTCATTGTTTGACACATACAGAAAGAGGACCAAATGCCCTTGGCAGAGAGCACAAGAGTTAGAAGCAACAGCATGGCCCTACCTAAGGATGATTATTAAGATGCCTCAATTTGCTCAGCAATAAATGGAGGCAATTATTATTGCCTTTTTTTGAGCATAGTAATGGGAAATTAGATCAGCTTTCATTCCTAATTTAACTGCAAAGGAAGCAGCTAAAACATGGAATCCCATAGATGTAGATTAAAGTAGGTGGCCACTTAAACAGTGTGGTTTACGTTGACATCTCAGTTGCAATAGTCTCATCTAAACAGTGGGGATAAAAATAATCTATCCTGAGGTGGTTATGAAGTTTCAACATATTAGTATGTATATATAATATTTAAAGTAATGCTTGACAAATAACATTCATTAGCTAAAAATGCTAACAGTATTGGTATTAAAGATAGAAGTTTGAAAAAAATAAAAAAATAAAGATAGAGCCTGGTGACCAGTTATCATTGTTGCCATAAATAGATGCATTCGCCAAGCAAAGATAGGGGAGAAGCCCATAGTCACTTTTGCTTTCTTTCAGTAGGAGTTTAGTTTGGCAGATTAGTTAACTATAATTTTGGCCCAAAGCAAGCAGAAGTCAAAAGAGATGTGATAAACAGGTGTCAGGAAACAGTAATAGCTCTTCACTTTAACCTTGTCTATGATCAGGAGTGACATTAAAAGTGGACTTGTCTAGTCTTATCTAATCCTCATAGTTGCCTGGTGATGTATTATTAACTGTGTGCTTCATTGCTGGTTTTGGATGTGACTTATTCCCCGAAGATTCTTGTACAGAAAGCTTGGTCTCCAGTATGGTAATATTGAGATAATGGGCCCTTTGGGCTGGGGATTTAGCTCAGTGGCATAAGCGCCTGCCTTGCAAGTGCGTGGTCGGGAGTTCAATCCCTGGTACCAGTAAAAAAAAAAAGAGAGAGAGAGAGAGATAATGGGATCTTTAAGGGGATGGGCTAAAGGAAGGTTGTTTAGGTCACTGGGGCAACATTCCTTGGAAAAGATGAAAGTAGTTCCCCTTAGTACCCTAGTTAGTTTCCATGAGAGCAAATTATTGTTTTTAGAATGAAGAAAAAAACCAAACTAGGCCCCTGTCTCCCTCCTGCTTCCTGTTCACCATGTGACCTCTCCCTCTAAAATCTGCTCTCACTGTGATAGCATATATTATGCTGTGAGAGCCAAGAGGCCCTCACCAAGAGATCAAATGGTGGGTCCTCCAATCTTAAGATTTTTAGCCTCTGAACGTCAATTAAATAAACTTGCTTTAGTTATAAATTAAAATGAATTAATAACACCATTTTAACCTCTGTTTCTATCTCTACAAGGGACAAAAAGAGAAGTGAGGAGTCAAATACTGGCTAGTTGCACCAGAAACACTTCCAAGCTCTGTCCTCACTGTTTCCTGAGGGTCTACCACTGAGGACCAGATGTCCAGGTGGGATGTCAACAAGACTGGGGGAAAGCACAGGGAACTACAATATTTTATAATTTTTTCACAACCTGCACTAGGGTTTCTGGAAATAAATAATAAGCCCTGAATACCTTCATGTGCCTTGTTTAAAAATTAGATTTGACAATCTAGGCCACAACTTTCAGTGGGGCTTCAGGAGAAACTAAATAAAACATGTGGGTGCAAAGTCTTCTGAAAACATAAATCTCCAAGGGGTCATCTAATCTCAATTAGGAAAAAAGTCACAGAATGAGAGAATACTTATCTAATGGTTTTTTATAAAGTTTGGATTAAATGTATACTTGTTTGCTTATGGAACACTCCATGCATGTGCATTTCACGTTCATCTTTTCTGCATCACTTCAACTTAGTATCATGCCGCTGAAGCAAACACAATCTGTAATTGTCTGGATCTTTATTTCGATCTCACAGAGCAAGTGAATTTGTAAGACTCCTTACTAAATTAACAGGCAACGAATTCCTACAAGAAGTAGTTTGTTTTCATGATTATTTTCCAAGGGTAGTTATAGCTTTATGATGTGTATTTGTATTTTACAAACTGACACATGTTGACAAGTTGTGAGGAATCATGTTGACCCCCTCATAGTTATAAAATATGTCACAGTAATTTGGACATGCTCACTAACCCTTGATAATTCATCTGTCAATCACATAGCTTATTCTAATTAACACACAATAAGAAAACTGTGAAGGCTCTGCTTATATTAAGGAAATATCTGAAACCATTTCCTCCTTGCAGAATAGCATAAATAAATGGTATTATAATAGGTTTATTGGGACACAATCCCATCGTTTGTGGAGGAACATCTGAACGGAAATAAGCAAACCTAAAGGGATATTATTGGCAGTATAGAAGAGAAGCAGTATGTTGTGTGCAAGACTTATATTTCCTGTTACTCTGATACTGGTTGTAAATTAACAAGCTTGGAGAAGTCGTAGCACATTCTTCTATCACAACAGAGAGAACACTGCGCAGAGTTGCTGCAGTCTGCCTGCTTTTCAGACGGGAAAAGATTGAACTCAACTCCATGCTCTTTCTTAGGACTAAAATCCTAGTTGTTAAGCTGGGAGAACGAGACAGAACCTGAAAGCTTGTTCTAGTGTCTCAGTCTGTTTTCAACAGTGAAATGCCTTGACGAAGTAGCATTAAGTAGTTGCTCAACAAATGCATGTTGCCTAGCAGACTGGCCACCTGGGCCTCCCGTGAGTCATCAGTAAAGATAAAGAGGAGGAGTGAGATGATTTGTAAAGTAATTTACAAATTTAAATGTTCAGAATTGGAGTTCAATTAAAAAATGTTGGCGTGAAAAGGGAAGGTCATCCTGTCCCAAGAAGCTTTAGAACTGCCTTCTGTCATTAATCTCTCTCTCTCTCTCTCTCTCTCTCTCTCTCTCTCTCTCACTCACTGATCCTATCATCCTTCCTTCCCTCTCTCTCCTCTTTCTTTTTCTCTCTCCTTCATCTCCTCAACTTCAGTTCTAAAGAGAAGTCTGCTTAGAAATTTCTCCTTAGCCCCAAGAGTTAATTACCTGTAAATCTATTAATGAATTAGCTAAGATTTCAGAATAAAGTTTCTCAAACTGAAATTATTTTTAAAACTGAAATATATATGCAGCTAAAGCTATTTTCCAATATCAAATTCAGCACCAAATCCCAAAGGCCCCAGCTGTCGTCTTTTTTTCCCCAGAGAGGAACAAGCTAGGAACAAGCAAAGCACAGCAGTGTCTGCTCCACTCCAAGCCGAATTCCTTTACAAAGAAGCTGTGGAGCAAACAGAACTGAAAATCAATCCAGGAGGATGTGTGTCTTTGAACCAAATCATCTCCAAATGCACAGGGACATGCTTGCAGGCTCTGTTTGTGCTGCCCCAGAAGACAGACATCTCACAAAGGAACTGTTTTTCAAAGAACAACAAGCACTGCTATTTTAAACTTGGGGGTGGGAGATTGTATCTGGGCGTTTACACAAGCCAGTGTTGGCTGATTGACATCTAACCCCAGTGTTGGCCAGCACTAGCTTCCAAGTAAAGCAGAGGGAGGGAGGGAATTGCATCTGAGAGCTCAGAAGCCACAGTGAAGTTCTCCAGCAATGTTGGAACTTTGCAACATGGGCAGAAAAGCCTGCCTAGAAATCCCATAAACATGAATAAACCGGTGATGTTTATCACCCAAGTGGCCTTGGGAATTAAAGGGATGTCAGAAAGCTGTGGAGGGCACTCCCCTTCCTGAGACTTGAGCCTAGTCAGCAAACACAGAACTTAAGGGATGCTAACTACGTGCTGGGGGCGCTGGGGAGGGGGCCAGTTGATCCGAACTACTGCTACTAGGCAGCACAGCTGCATCATTGGGAAAGTCTGGGTCCCTAAGCGCTCCATGCTTCTGCATCCTCATCTGCAAATAGGGACAGCAGAGGTGGTGCCTGCACCCCAGAAGGACATGATCAGTGGTCCAATGTACTGATAGCATGTGCCACTGCTGTATTTCCCCATAGTGCTCCCCCACCGCAAAGAAAACAGTCCCCCACCCCTCCAATCAAACAAAAACCAGGCAACAGCGACATCTTACTCCAGGTGTTAGGGTTAAAAATAATTATAGTAATAATAATGCACTGCCCACTAAAATGCCAATGTTTTCTAGAACATCAGTTTTAAGCAACAGATCAGCAAGACAGGACAGGGTAAAGTGAGCCCCTCCTGAGGTAGATTTCCCCCAAAGGATTGTTTTAAAAGTACAACCCTAAATCTTTCCAGGAAACCAAAACACAGCCAAATGTGCACAGCAGGGGTGCGGAATCACATTTCCCCTTCCCTGACCAGGGGTTTAAAACTAACTAGAAACATTGTCATGACCGCCTGTGGCCAGCTGGAAAGTTCTTTTTTTTTTTTTTTTTTTTTAATAAAAATCATTTTCCATGTTCCGAATCTGAAAAGTAGAGGGTTGAAACAGTGCAGCATTCAGAAAGAAGACAAAAGAGCGAGGGAAAGAAGGTTGCCGGCTGTCTCTTGAGCTGTTCAAAGAATGGAGCGTCCCGTGAGAGAGAGAAAGGCCGCTCACCTTTCGGTGGGACTCGGCTCAGCACCTCCAAGCCCAGACAGGGGAAACCTGAGCCCCCACCCGCCTTTCTTTGCAGAAGTCAAAGGGCTTTCAGGGTTGCGTTCTGCCAAGTGGGGGAAGGGGAGGGGTAGCGACCAAGTTCCCACACGTCTCAGCACCACGGAAGTTAAAGGAAAGTTTTAAAAGAGAAATGTGGGAAAGGCACTAACCTTGCCTCCGGTCGGGGAAGCGAACCGGGCCCGGCTGGGGCTCTCTGCCATAGCAAAGTGCCCCGAAGTTGAGGAGCTGAGCCAGCACCGAGAGGTCTGCAAGCCAGCTCCTCTGCGCACATGGCATGTTTCAGTTGTCAGGAGAAGCAGAGTCACAAAGTTTCAGCCTTCAGCTCCAGAAGTTAAGTCCCCGCCTGTGGCCGCGCAGGCCAATGCAAAGATGCATGGTCCCGGAGCAGGAGGGAGCTGCAGAAAAAGCCCGCAAGCTGCCCTCTGCGGGTATTTTTTTTTTTTTTCTTTTCTTTCTTTCTTTTTTTTTCCCCCCAGCCGAAAGGGGCTAGCTACCTTTTCCCTCCTCCTCTTCAAAGGGGAGTGAACCAGCTGACGGGGTCTGCTGTCTGCAGGGTGTGGAATGGTCAGTGTGGAAGGGCGCAGCCCACCCTGGGTCCCCACCCCCTCGTCTTTGCGCGCCGCCCCACGGGCCTCTGGCCAGCTCCGTGCATCTTCCTCCCCGGCTTCCACCCCTGCGCGGTTCTGCTGTGCCCAAGCACGCAGAGGGGGCTAGCCAATAGGGAGGCCCAGGACAGCCATCCAGAGGGACACTGTGGAAGCTGACAGCTGAGGCCACCAGGCCAGTCCCTCACCAGAAATACAGGCGCACAGGTGGAGTACAGAGATGGGCCCAAGGGGTTCCACTTCTTTTCCTCCAGACCCTTCTCCTCCAGGTCCTGATGGGCTCCTGATTTAGAGACTATGGAGATTCCTTGCCTGACTCAGGCTGGGATCGCCCTGGGATCCTCTTCCAGGGTAGGCGAAGACGCCCACTTACATGTTGAAAAGCAGTTTTTCTCTTTGCCAAGTCAGACAAAGGGAAATGAACTGAGCTAATCTGCTAGCTTGACAATGCCCAAGTCCATCTGCAAAGTGAGGTGACTACACAGAGCCTTGTGAGACACATATCTACAGGTCAGGGCAAGCTTTTCCACTGCTTTTATCACCTGACCTTTCCTAGCCCACCTCCATTCACCCTCAAGGAAACCAGCAGAGTGCAGAAAGTAGTCCAGCCCAAGGAAAGGTTAAGGTGTCCATCCAGTCTCCCTGCAGGGCTGCCGGGGCAGGAGATGGGAGCATCCACTCCCATGCTTGAGCTTTTTCGCCAGTGAGAGAATACCACAAAGCAGGGTGCTTGCCAGGCATCCTGAGAATTTACTGGAATAGTCCAGCCAAAATTTTCACCTCTGGGCTGAGACAGGCCTCCTTACTCCATTCAGGAAAAATTTGGCCCAGATATGGAGTTCTTCATGCCCAAAAATCAACTGCTTGCATTTAACAAGAGGTCTAGGATACTGGTTCCACCTAGTTTGCATAAAGACAGAGCAGTCAAGTCAACCAAGAGAGTTTAATCTCTTCAACTCCAGTGGTATTTCCACTATACTCTCCTTCATTTACTCTTACAAGCATGTTTTGGTATAAATAGATTACATCCCCAAAGTTCTACGCATTAAACGCTTGGTATTGGTATTGAAAAGCCTTGTGGATCCTCATGAGAAGGCCTCGTATGACGTGACTGAGTCACTGATTGTTGCTCTCAGAGTCTTGCAATTGTGAGATCTCAATTTTTGGCTCGTGACATAACTTATTTCCTCTGAAACATGCTCTCTATCTTACCTGAAAAGTTCAAAACTACGAGGTCACCCTGAACCTCCAGAACCATGAGCTAAATAGCATTTTCTCATTTTAAGTTAATTGCTTCTGGCTTTTCATTAAATAACACAGAGCTTACTAATGTAGATCATGACTAGGAATATCTATCATTTAGTCATCCAAGGGTGAAAAATTAACATTATAAAATCTCACCAAAGATTTGGATTCTGTCAGCCCTTTGAAACCTTTGTAACCAGTAGCTTGGTTCTTTCACACAGTATAGATATCCTTCTTGATCTCTCCATCTATGGTGTCCTAGTAATCTACAAAATCTCTCTAGGCTAACCTGCTCCCCCAACACTGCCCATACACACTGATCTACCTCCATAAACCAGTGCCTTCAAGATTGCATAACTTCCTTATCAAAGTCTAATTCGTTTTGTTCCAAGTGCTGATTTCTCTGTTTTCTTCTAAGTACTGTGGAAAAGATTTACATAATTACACCCAGTAGTGTAAATACCATTCATGTCTCCAACTTCAGCAAGTTTTCAACATGGCTCAGCCGGAAGTACCTTCTGCTTCTATTCTAACATCAAGTTCCTCTCCCTCTTCCCAGAATTTATAACCCTGCCAAGGTCAGGGTTTCCTTAAAGTAGAGAGAAGACTTAATCTTCCTCCCAGTGGGAAAAGATAACATCGTCACAATGCCTTTGGCAATGGTTTAATTCAGTATGGCTAAGTATTTTCCATATTAAATGCAAATTGTGACAAAAAAATCTAAGATCTCTCACAAAGAGTTCCTTCTGTTCACACTTTCCTACTAGGCCCTTAAAAGTATAAGGGATAACTGAAGTTCAAAGAGAAATAGAGTAATCTTTCAGAGCTTCATTAACACTGGGAAGACAAAAGAAGCAGCTTCCCGGGGCTGGGGATTTAGCTCAGCGGCATAAGCACCTGCCTTGAAAGCAGGCAGTCGTGAGTTCGATCCCTGGTACCGATAAAAACGAAAAAAGCAAAAAAAAAAAAAAAAAAAAAAAAAAAAAAAGAAGCAGCTTCCCACTCAAACAAAAACAAACAACAACATATCCTGTGATTTAGCCTCAGGCATCACAAATGACTCTACCATAAAAAGAGACTTCCCATTTGTTAATCATGTTTAAACATCATAACTGTCTTCCATAATAAAAAAAAATCATTGTATCACATGCAAGAGTTTTTAAGGTGCTTTTCTGAATGACATCAGAAAGTAGAGAGGAGAAAAGTGTTCCTCTGTGATTTTCAAAATAGTTAAACTTTTAACTCCATTTGAAGGTAAACATTTTCTTCAAACGTCATGTATTTAAATGTTGTTATTGCATGTACTACTTTCTTTGGAACCAGTCTGCAGCCTTGAAATGATATGGAGATAGGTATTGTGACTGAGTATCAATTCACTTTTCTTCTTTCAACCAAGTACATTTATGAGTAATTGGATCAATAATCAGCACAAGATACCATGTTGATCCCTAAAGCCAGGAAGTTTGCTTTCCTGACTTAGCTTGAAAACTGTAAAATCTATTCATTACAAGTTTTAAAAAGTTACCTGATGGAAGAAGAAGCAAGAAGGTATTTTCTTCTTCCTGTGAGTCAGCTGGGGTACAGACTGGGAGGCAAGGATGTGCCTCCCTCCTCAACCCCCTTCACCCCACCTCACCCCTGACTAAGCAACCAGCTGATTTGAAGGAACACAGGCTGAGGTGATAAAAACTAAGGTACAAAGACAGTTTAATGCTTATATTTTTGATTGACTTTGTAGGTCTAAAGCTGATAGTCTGAGTATCTATTTAGAGGATAACAATATGCAATATAGCAACTATGGGGGATTTTCTTCTGTCTTATTTTTGAAATCTAATATTATTCTTGCTGTTTTGTTTTGTTTTATTGTTTTGCCTTATTCAATGTTCCGATTGGTTTTATTCTGTTCTGTTTTATTTGATTTTATTACAACTGTTGGTATTGATATAGGGGAACTAAATTTCCAACCTATGGTACGTGTTCTCTGTAATTTAAGAATGAATTTTAGGAAAAGTGAAGGTTAAGAGCAGAAATACTTATTGAAATAAAGGAAGTTTCTGTCTGAGAGGGAGTCAGAAAGGGTCCTGAGTGGGTTACCAAAGATTCTATATTTTCTAAGGGTTTTTATAAAATAAAATCATAAGATGAGGCAGGTCTAAAGTGGGAGAAAACTGGGAACTCACAAGGCAAATGGGCATGAGGTAGGACAGGGCTATGGTCAACTAATAAGTTCAATTGCAGGTAAAGTTAACCAAATCAGGGACAAATGGGGAATGGAACATTCTTTATGGATCGGTGACTCTTCCTTTAGGGAGTTGAGATGATGACTCTTGGCTTTTCAAAGTAATCCATAGCTAATCCCTAAAGTTTATTACTTAAGTATGTGGTTGCATTTGTTTTGTTTTCTGTTTTGAGATCTGGTCCATAGCAAGAGGTTTGTGTCTCCTCCAAGGTCACAAGACATCTGGTCCTCTGTTCCTGCTTCTTCAAGGGCCTAGCCTTGTCTTACTGCCTATAATATTTCTAACTAACTTAGCTGCCTGTAACAGGATGGGCAGCAATTTTGAAGATAACAAGAGGTATTATGATAGCCATTGTTGATTTCCTGTTATCTTGTTTTGAAATCCTGTATCACTTTCGCTGTTTTGTTTTGATTGGATTAATTTTGTTTGGTTTTATTTTCTATAAAACGATTTTTTTTTAAAAGGAGATGTTACCCGGCTCTGTATTTAAATGGATACCATATTGGACCATTCTTCTGATGCTCTATTTAATCAGTTTAAACAAAGAAGTAAGGCCCAAGGATTTAGCTTAGTGGCATGAGCACCTACCTGGAAAGCCTAAAGGCATGAGTTTGATCCCAGTACCAGAAAGAAAAAAAAGAAAGAAAGAAAGTAAGTCATGGCAATGCACTTTTGAAAGCCATGACCCAAAATGTCATAGAGCCTGGAATAATAAAACACACTGTAGGCTGAAGAAAAATGCATACCTCAAACAGAAGGTGAAGATTTTTCTGTTAAATTGAGATCAATGTCAGTTTGTAGAGCATTTTAAATGAGTCAAAATGTAGTAAGGTTGCACTGAGTTGGTCCAAGAATGTCACATATAGGAGATCTGCCAAAGAGAGCCTAAGCAAAGTGAGAGGGTGTAGAAAGCTGCCAGTTGCAAGGTGTTAGAGCCTAAGCAATATAAATAGGGCAATTATCATGGCACTAGGCATGGGACCAGAGCTTGAGCAGAGTGAGGAGATCATCTGTCTTGGATGGAGCAAGTTGAGATGAGGAGGAACATAATGCTTGGTTACCTAAAGAAAAATTCATCAGGTAATTACCTAGAGTTCGTATAATGAGAGCCAAATTTCTCACTGTCAGTTTTGATGTATGATTTCCAAGCTCTGAAAAGTCATAGACTCTTTTCTTGAGGTTCATTCTCAGCCTACAGCATGGTGGCTCTTGGCCTGGCTCACATGTACTACTTGGAAGTTATTGGCAGGCATCACTGACCTGTCACACTGGTTTAAAGACTATGTATCCGCACCTTGGCTAGACCAATTTGCATTGTTTCATGCCATTGTCTTAGCTGTCTGTGTACATATCAGCATATGGAAGTAGGGCCCAATATTCTTTCAAGGAGAGCTATTCAGGTGGTCATCTATACTTTCACTGGAATGCACTTAGGGCACTTGCTTCATTTAATTCGAGGAAAGATCTTTAGTACACATTAGTAGTATCCACACATCTGCCTGGTT